TACACTTTCTCCTTGAATCCCTGTAAATTGTGGACACATTTTAAACTTAGTGATTTTAAAAAATTAGTATCGTTGAAGGTATGTTGTCTCATTTCAGTAAAGTTAGTGCCATTGTTAAATTCAAGACTGTTCGAAATTGAAAATGACATTTGCCAAATCTAGCCATCAATTATCCAATTTGATGCTGTTTTTCAATCTTTTTCCATAAGTACTTCTGTAATTGCTAAATCAGTTGACAGGATTTTTTAACCAAGCTGCTATAAATCCTCATTTTTAGTTGTGGATATGTCAATTTCAATTTCGCTGCTACAAAAGCCAACTACCGGTTTATCATCCAAATTCTGTAACCCTTAGTCACCCTATTAGCTAGTCATTTAACCTGGTTGCTGCTTTTAATGGCTCTTACCTCCAGTGTCTGGTAGTTACATAATTATGATGGTCCAATAAATTACATAATGGGATTATAAAAACAAAATCCTATTACACAGTATGACAATATTTATATTCATGAGAAGTGATAAACCAAGTTGGTTATAGTATTACTATGGCAACTACTGAAATGAAACGTCAAAACTTTTAATGTGTAATGTAGATTATTAACGCAGACAGGTTTTAACATTAAAAAGTATGATGTCATCGTGTAATATTACTGGAGTGTTAAAAGTTTTAAAATCTTGAAACAACTTGAATATACCAGCAGTAGAAATGTTTAAGCAATATTGAATGTATTTTTGAGGAATGTATTTATTCTTTAACAGGACTTGAACAAAATCTGTATCTTGTACAAACTACAGGCCATTACACATGTTTTATGTTTTGCATGCATGCTCATTGCATGATTGGTAAAAACCGACTAGTGACATTGTTTGCTGTTGTCATTACATGTGTTTGCTGTTCTGATAAAAACAAATTGCGGGCAACATTGTCATGACGACAGCATATCACAAGTTACATGTTTTATAATTCGCATGATGATTGGCAAAAATACAAACATGTGTCGCAGTGTGACTGCCTGTACAGATGTTAAAGATCTTATTTAAAAACATTTGAGGAATTTCCACGCAAGCCATTTCATTAACGATTGAGCAGAAATGCTCATTCAAATAATTTGATGAAGTTTGAACAGCTTTGTTTTCTCTTTAATGAAAAGTAAATATGAATCATGAAAATCTGATATACCTTGTGTTTAAAAGCATTGTTGGTGCTCCTTATCAATAAATAACACTATCTGTCTTTACATTTATTCCAATGTCGAAACAAGAGTCAGCAAGATGCTGAGATATTACAGAGTCAGTGACCAGGAAAAACACTTGTCCGTTTCTATTTGGAATACTTTGATGACGTATGTTTCTAGAATAACTTGTGCCAACATGAGTTTATCCACTTCGCTGTCAGCACTAAAAAACCCACTCTGAATCAGAAATGAAGCAAATAGATAAAACTGCTTTGTCCTTCTAATTCTCTCCATAGACTGCTGCAAATGTAAAGTAATGACTGTATAGCTCCAGTAATTGCTGGGCCAGTATGTGGCATATACAGTGTCTCCATTGGGAAATTATTGTCAGTGAGCAACTTTGATTCATTTCCAATTGTCATTACAAAAATCCTAACCATGGGATTGCTTTTATAATAATAAAACAGATTTTATACATGTCCTATTGCTTTTATATTTGCAATGGATTATTTTAATAATGATTGCATCTTTCATGTTTGTAATCATTTTTTTATTATCTTTCTTAGTGTCACAAATCACTAGATTACATGATGCTTGTTTAAAGGTCATTTTAAAATATGATTGCATAAATTGTGATTCTTATTCCATGAGGGTATATTTAAAATGGAAAAACTTTTTTTTACCCCAAGGAGTTTAAAAGACCAATGGGATAACCTGTCTGTGTGTTTTTTTTTTAAGTAAATAAAATAGTTGGAAGCAATTGATAGTGTGTTGATATTTTTTTTTTACAATTGTGACATTACAAAGTATTCACGTGATCAAGATCTCTCTTCAGTGGCACACTGCATCAATTTATTCTAACATTAACTGTATGGAAATATTTTTTTTAAAAAAACATTTACCCCAGAAGAGACATGTTGTATTTAAATCATTAAAGTTGTCACTGGCTATATAAAAGTGCTTATTTAATATGTCTTGATAAAAATAAGATACAGATAAAAAATGCTTTATTCCAATACTCAGAAAATTGACATTTATATTTGGTTATATTCAAAATACCGTACATGAAAATATATTTAATAAAATGAGATAGCTCAAGGCAAGGTTCAATATGCAGCATGAAAATAAATATTTTTGCTACAATAATATAAAATTCATGAGTCATGTACCAAATGTATTGACCCAAATATTCAGCTGATGTTCAGGTTGGATACCTGACATGAAGTAGAGATAGCGCCCTCTACAGTTGCACACGATCTCGTTTTCAATTAGTGCCAGCGCCCTCTCCAGTTGAACATTGTAGTTTTATTTCGTGTCTGTTGATTACTGGTAAGAAGGAGCAGCTGTAACCTTGACGACCTCAACTATGAGATGAATGACTGTCATTTCAAGATATGAAATATAAATTGAAAACAAGACGAATTTAAAGCCTAATACAAAGTAAAGTTAGTGCGTTTCTTACCAAATTTTATTAACTAAGTTGCTACAAATCCTCATTTTTAGTTGTGGATATTTCAATTTTTCAGCCACAAAAGCCAACTACCGGTTTATCATACAAATTCTGTAACCCTTAGTGATTATTCTGAAGTGATTTATTATTAATCTGATATACACATTGTGTAGTAGCTGTTGCAATAATTTGGAAGCAAATCTATTCATTCAGAAATATTGTAGTTCCACCACTAGATGGCGGTATGTTTTAGAACTGAGATGCGCCGTGTGTATTGCGCATGTGGTGTCGTGTGCAATCCTCAGGGGGGAGCTACGTCACAAGACGTTCCACGTTGCTAAGATGCACACTTCGATACGCGTTACTTATCATCACTGCACAAAGCAGCTTTGCAAATAACTCGTTTGCATATT